TATATACATATATACATATAGATATATATATATATATACTTACTTACTATACTATACATACATACATACATACTATATATATATATATATATATATATATATATATATATATATATATATATATATATATATATATATATATATATATATATATATATATATATATATATATATATATTTCAATTATCCGGTGTGGTTTTTATTTTTTGGCCATTTGTTCGCTCAAAATTAGGTTGGAGGTTGAAGAAAATAACAATTTAAGTTGTTATTTTGTAAAAAAAAACAAATAAAAAATGAATTATCATGTATTATTCAATTCAGGGTGCATTATGAATAACTTATTGTGTTTTGAGGGTGCAAAGTGCTATTATAATTTTTCAAGGGTGCAAAGTGCCAAAATACTCTATTTCAAGTGGGCAAAGTGGAATTAGGCCGTATATTTGACATAACTGTTATTTTTTATAACACTTCAAATATTTATGCCTTTTTTGTCGGTTAAGCGTACTGGGGTAAAATTCGAGTTTTAATCATCACATTTACCAACAAAGTACGAGTCAATAACACCTATTTCGATTCATAGATTCGTTGATCATGAGGCGACTTAGGAGTGATTACAAACTGAACCCGACCCTTGGCCATGTCCAATTGTACAAAAATGAAAATTATTTTTGTAAATGCAAAAATGAAAATTATTAGGCATTTATTTTTTAAATGCAAAAATGAAAATTATTAGGCAATACTTGCCAACTCGAGAGGAAGATTGAAGCCTTCACTACACATGTCACCAAGCATTTTAACTATATATACGAATTAATTAATGTAGGGAAAAATACATTTTTCGTCCATATTTCATATTTGGTCCCCTTGTTCACAAAAAACATATTTAGTCCCTAATGTTTCAACGATTTATCATTTTTATTCATTTTCGTCAATTTACAGGTAGTCCGTCAGTTAAGACAGGGATGTAGACATGCTTGATTATGTTAGTACTAACGGTAAATTCAAGAAAAGTACCACAAGTGTTAAAATGTTGAACCATGAGGGACTAAATCTATTTTTTTATATGATCAAATGGGACCAAATATAAAATCGAGGTAAAATGAGGAACAAACATTTAATTTTTTCAGTTTATGTACTTAGTCCACACAATTTATATTATTTAGTTCATTTTATAAATAATTTTTAAGATACAAATATACCAAATTTAAGGGTAGAAATATAAAATTCTTGGAGTAGGAACTTTATTTTTTAAAGATATTTTCTTACTCGGATAGTAGCATTAATTTTCTAATTGTAATATTTTTTCGATCATTTCTTGAATCTCTTAATCCCTTTTGTTTCTAAATGTATTTTCTTGAAATACTTTATTTATCAAGATGTTAGTTTCATCATTAACATGTTAATTTCAGGTCTCTTTCAATATGGGTTGTGCTGTATTCGATTAAAAATCTTGTTAAACACTTCGGGGGTGTTAGGGCTCCGCTGCTGAATACAAATTCCCCCTCTTTTCGGTGTGGGATGCATATGTGTTGTGAATTAGGACTCTAGTGCGATGCTAATATGTGAAGAGGCAATGGAAAAAATTGTGAAGAGTCAAGGGTTAAATTGTAAATGCAGGAATAATCATTCATGGTAATTCCAACCAAACATAATTGTCGATTTATCCATAATTCATAGTCCTTTACACTAAATGACCGATTTATGATACTAAATAATGGTGAACGATACAACAACATACGATCCATAATGTTGTAGCAATCTCATCTCACGAACCAAAAGAGCCCATATTGTATAATTCGCCTTACATCCAATAAAAAGGAAAATAAATACCAAATAAATTCGAATATTTAATTAATCACAGTTCATCTAACCATCCGAACGAATGCATACAAGTAACTATATTATAAATAATATATATATATATATATATATATATATATAT